ATACACCTTTAGTAGTTTTGTTAGAGGTGTCTGGCCTAACCTTTGTATTTAGTACTTTAATTCTTTTACTTTTTCTTATTCTTTTTTATTTTCTTATTTCTTATTTCTTTGTTATTTATTGTGAATAAACAAACATATTATTATATCCTTAAATCAATTGAGCTATCTTGTTTTTAATCTTGTTGAGAGTATGCCACTGTGTAAATTATAAATCTTAAGTTAAATTAAATTGTAAACTTAAAAGAATTACTACTCGAACACCCGTTTAACTGTCGCAATTTGCAAGAATTGCACGTTAACAATATGAAGAAGAGTTATTTAAAATTAACAGTTAAAATACTATTTTGAGAATATATATTAAAATTATATACATATATAAAGATATAAATATAATAAAATAAAGAAAAATATTATTATGACAGACATAAGAGATTAAATATAATAGAATATAGAAAAGAATAGTTAAAAAGAATATTTGATATAAAAAATATATTAAAAACTTTGATAAAAATACTTTAAATATTATATTAGAATTCAAATTTAAATTAAAAAAAAGTTTATTTAAATAACATACTAGAAAATAGTTTCAGAAACTATTGTTAAGTTTGAAGCATAAGTATAATTAAAGGGATCAATCACGTATTGACTCAAAATTTGAACAGACAGACATCAGGACATCAAAGCGTATAAAATATATATAGTCTTTTACTAACACTCTAGACTAATAATAAATATTAATGATAATAAAATTTAAATTAAAAAAAAGAAAATATTTTGTAACTAAATGTTTAGAATATTTTATTATGATTTTTATATTTTTTTTTATCTATATTATAAACTATTACAACTATCTGATAAGCAAAGATAGAAAAATTTACACATTAAATATAAGAATACTTATATTCTTTATCTATATAAGTAGATAAATATTATATGATAGAATAACTAATTTTGTTAAAATAAATTATTTTTATATTATTAAACTATATATGATATTAATCTTATTATTTTTATTAAAGTTTATTCATAAAATAACTTAAATATTTAGAATATTGTATTTTAAATATAGTATTATTTTTATTTTAATCAATTAACAAACTATAATACTATAGCTAAAAAATGTATTTATTATAATAAAAATAAATTTAAAATTTTAAAAATATAATTTAAAATATGTAATAGTTGGTATATAAATAAAAATGAGAAGAAATACATATAATTTAGTTAAATACCTAGTGTAAAAATTAAGAGAATAACCAAAAAGAATCAAAAAGATGCTTGAAAAGTATAATCTTTAACCTAAAAAGAAGATTAATTTAATGTATAAAAAATATTTTAAAAAAGATATTAATAATGATCTAACAAAACTAGATTATTGTATATAGTAAATAATATCTTTATAATCTAATTTTCTTAAATAAAGGTTAATATCAGAGGAAATAATAATTAGATTGAGATATATTTTTAAATGGTATTTAAATTAAAAAGTTATGTAACTATAATTATGCAGATTTATTAAAACTTATTTCTGAATTTTTATTAGTATTCCTTTAATAATTATTTATAATTTTATATATAAATTATGAAGATATAAAGATACAATAATTACATTTTTGATGTTTTTGAAATTTATTATCCTAATTATATCTTAGCTATATGTCCTAATTTGTCTCACACTATATCTCAATATTCTATCTATCCCATTTATGTCCTATCAATATCCTATTAATATCATAATTATCTCATATAACACTATATAGATGTATATGATAGAAAATTAGAAGGTAAAATTGCTAAATAAACCATTAATAAATACATCATTAACTACTAGAAAATATTAAAAAAAAAATGATGGATTAATAAGGTAATAGTTAAAGAATTAAAATTTTTCAATACTTAGCTTTAGATTATTATTCCTATATAATTCTTAGTTTTTAGATCACTGTTTTTAGAATCGTTTTATACAATTTTTTTTTTAGCCCGCTTTTTTATTACACAAAATTTTCGTTTTTTAATTGGTAGATATTATGACACGTGATAAAATCGGCGGTGAAACTAAATCACGTTATTATTTGCATTAAAACTAGTTAAACAAATTAGCTTAAATTTTGATATCGATGACCCTGTGATTCCAATTGAATAAATTTTAGATTATGATCATAATTTACGAAATATAAAAATTTCATAAAATTTGTTTCATTTGATTAATTCAATGTACAAATTATAGTGTTCAAAAACTTTTTGAAAGCCCTCTGTAAGACCGGTTAAATAGATTATCAAATAATAAATATTGCTTTTTAATTTGTTTTCGTAATTCTAGAAAAATTAGATGCGGCAGATGATTACAAATTTAAGATTACAGAGTTCTTATTAATACAACTTTATCTTTTTGTTCTTTTTTTTATTGATGAACAAATCCAGCTTTAACTTTTAGGACAATTACTGGGCCGTTCACGTTATTAATCAAATTGTTAGTTGTTGATATTAATGCGGAATATCGTTACTGCGGTCAATAAATTTGGACGTTACAGTAAAGCTTCTTTTGTTATTACAAACAATAAGAATTCAAGTTTTATATATCGAAAATAATGTTTTGTTGAAAAGAAATTTTTTTAATAAAAAGCATTTTTATCAAACCAACTAAATTTCGTGAGAATGTTTTGCAAATATAATAACCGCGAAATTATTTGACGCGTTTAACAGAACAACGACTATAAATAAAAAATTCCATTTATAAAATAGAACAAAAACATTCTTCTAAAAAATTCATTGATGCCTTTTCTTATCATCAGAATCTGTATAATAAGCATTGGATTGCCCCTCTAATTTTTCGTCTTTTCCATGATTACCATAAGTAGGAGGATATGCTTGACTTACTTCCTCATTAGAAAATCCGGCACCAGATTTTTGAGCATCTTTAACAACGGAACCTTTGTCTTTTGGATATGAATGTTGCTGATATTGTGAATGATATTGAGGTTGAGATTGTGGCTGAGATTGTGGTTGATATTGCGGTTGATGTGGTTGATATTGTGGTTGATGTGGTTGATGTGAATGTTTTGATGATGGTTGAGTTGTTGAATGAATCTTTACTGTCTCTGGACGCGTTCCTCCAAATATTGGACGACCTTCGCCTGAATTTGATTCATCTCGGTATTTAAAAATTACATAAAATGCATGGAATAATCCTGGAAGCCATCCTATAGATGATAATAATAAAGTTAATTTTAAACGTGAATACGATGCATTGATAAAATATAATTTACCTAATAATGTTAAGATAATATTAATCCAAAAATCCACATTAAAACCTCGTTTCATTACCACTCCTAATGGAGGAAGCATTATACTAACGAGCAAAGCGATAATATCATAGATGCTATATTGTGCCATGTTTTAATATTTTAATTTATTCTAAAAATTATATTTTTACAAAAGTAAATTCTAGCACCTATTTATACTTAAAAATTTTGCCAAGAAAAATCTAGACGTCATCATTAAATGTTCAAATCGCCGATGATTTTTATGATGGATTTTCTACGTAATATTAGTTCTAAAATGAGCTAGTGAATAATATTCTAAAACGACGGATTTTTGAATTTTCCAGAAAATAAAAAATTTAAAAGATAAGCGCTTGATCAGATCTACATCTACAATTAAAAAGAAATTATCGTTTATAAAATTATAAAAATCGATTATGTTGTTTCCAAAAGTATCATTAGAATTTACCAGTATAGGCTGTAACAAATTACCACAGGTAGCCTCGTGGGGATATGATGGTCTATTAGCTTTTGGAGCACATAATTATATTGCTTTATATTATCCTGAGGTAAATTTAGTACGTTTACATAACATTCCCGGTTTCTTTTGATAACTATAATAAAAAATATTACATTTTCAGGACCCGGAATCTAAGGGAGTTATTGCAACACTATCAGGACATAAAGATAAAGTTAATTGTGTGGAATTTATAAATAGAGGTATTAATATGGGTTTTGTTTTCATTCATTAGTTTATTTTTCTAATGTATATTTTATATTAGGAGACGAAACAAATCAAACGAATATTGCAATTGTTTCCGGTTCAACTGATAAAACTGCAAGAATATGGAAAAAGAATAGATCTGGAAAAGTAATCCTTAAGATTCATTTTTATTCGAATTCTCTTTTTTTTGTAAGATTTCTAATTTTTTTATAAATTTATAGTGGATTAATTCTGCGATATTAGAATCACATAACGAATCGATTAATACTTTAGGAGTTATTAGATCTGGAAATATTACTATAGAAAAAGATTTGTTTGCTACAGGGTCTTCAGATTGTGTGATCAAAATTTGGGAAAGGAGTGAATTGGATGACACAAAAGGTAGCTATTGTTTGAACTCTCGCAGAAACCTGTATATAAAGCTAACCCTTTTTTTTAGATTTGGTTGAATGTATTCAAACAATTAATCTTGGAATAAAATATCCTTTAGCTTTGGCAATTTCTTATTTACCAGAATCTAAAGGTATTGGGTTTAAAGAAGAGATTTTAATTGTGAATTGGTACATGATCTTTTCATTTCAAGTTTATACATTCATCAGTGCCAATATTAGCTTGTGGAAGTACAGATAAAAAGGTATTATTATTCGTACAAAAAAATAACCAGGTAAACAAATATTTATTTATTTATTATCTTAGTTAAATTTATACCAACTAATAAATACTAATCAACAAAAGTTTAAATCTATAGTTTGTTGAGTCATTATCATTGCAAGGACATGAAAATTGGGTTAGATCATTATCTTTCGCTACATATACAACACCAATATCACCACCAAATAATAATATTAAACAAGAATATAAATTACAAGGGGGAGATTTATTATTAGCAAGTGGTTCACAAGATAAATATGTCAGACTTTGGAAATTTAGTCTTGTCAAGAATGATCCGGAAAAATTTGATAAGGGGAAAGAAAATGAGAATGAAAGTGAAAAGAGATTTTTGATTAAAGACTTGTTGGCTAACGTTTCCGAAAATGGAGCATTGTAATTAAGAATTCCTTACATTGAGAATCTGAACGTTTATGATGGGTTTAATCTAATTTTTTTGATTTAGATCTGGAGGTAAAGTACAATTAAGTACGAAGGCTCATATTATTGACGTTGAAGTTGCTAAAGAAGGATCATGTAACAAGTAGGTAATAAAATTATGAGATGTTTTACAATCAATATCTATTAACTAGATTTATTAATTTTATAGTCAACGATACAGCGTTATGTTTGAGGCATTGCTTATGGGACATGATGATTGGGTTTATAGTGTACGTTGGCAACCACCATGTTTAATTAAAGGTAAACGGTTATATTGAAAAAAATAAATAATATATATATATATGTTGAAATCCGTAAATTAAATTATTTTATTAAAAAAGTTAACTTTTAGATTTTGAAGGGAATTTAAAATATCATCAACCAATGACAATACTTACATCTTCATCAGATAAATCAATGATGATATGGAAACCCGAGGCCGATACTGGCGTTTGGGTTAACTTGGTAAACAGAATTTTTAAATGCAATTTAATACATTCTATGAATATATTGTAATGATTTAATAATTAAAATCTACCTTTTTTAGGTGAGAGTAGGTGAAATTGGAGGATATACACTTGGATTTTTTGGAGGATTATTTAATAAGGAAGGAAATTGTATTATTGGGCATGGGCATACCGGAGCATTTCATTTATGGAAAAATGTTGATAAAGATGAAAGTGGTATTATAAAGAGTTTTTTTTTTGTGAAATATTATATGCGTCTTTTTTATAAAAATATATATATGTATATGCCTACCGTTTTAGATGAACAAAATTGGAAACCACAAGTTTCGATAAGTGGGCATTTTAATTCTGTCAAAGATATTTCATGGGATAAAGACTTTAATTATCTTGTATCTGTTAGGTAAGTTACTTAAAATATCACAATTTGTGAAAATTTTCCAAGTTCTAACGGAACCTTTTTTCACATATTTAGCCTTGATCAAACCGCTAGATTATTTGCTCCATGGTGTCGAAAAGTCAGCAGCAATGATAAAATTTCTCTGACTTGGCATGAAATCGCGAGACCACAAATTCATGGTTATGACATACATTGTATTTGTTTTGTAAATAAATGGAGATATGTTAGTGGATCTGATGAGAAGGTATGCGCATATTTTGAGTATGTTTTATGAAATTATTTAATTAACATAAATATATTTAGGTAATAAGAGTTTTTGATGCACCGAGAACATTTGTTCAATCTTTATCAAGGTTACTAAATAAAGAAGAAATTTTGGAAGAATTAGTAAGTTAATTAACTAAATAGATTCAGAATAATTCCTTAATAACAAATTTTTCAAAAATGGATCAAACTAGGAATCAAAGCCGTTAGGAGCAAATTTACCAGCATTAGGATTATCAAATAAAGCGGTATTTCAGACGGATATAGAAAATTTTGAAAAGGCTGCACAAGATGAAGAATTTTTAAGTAGACAATCTTATGTTCATTCGAGTTCCACTCCCAATAGTTTGATACAAACTTTAAGTCAACCACCCTTTGAAGAACATTTATTACAACATACCCTTTGGCCTGAAATTGATAAATTGTAGGAAAATTGTATAGTTGTATTGCAAGGGAAGGAAGACTTGTTTTATTGATTTGAAAATCTTCACTTTTCTTTGTTTGTAGGTATGGACATGGATTTGAACTTATTAGTGTCGGCGCTAGCCATGATGGAAAATATGTTGCAAGTGCCTGTAAGGTTTGGTATCACTTAAACTAGATTTCTTAAGGTTAGAGAGGGTCTATTTATGAAATTTCATTTCCAATATCTGATTTAGGCAGCATCAGCCGAGCATGCGGTGATTAGATTATATGATACATCAACTTGGAAAGAATTACCAAATCCATTACAATCACATACATTAACGGTGACACGAACTAAATTTTCACATAATGATAAATACCTACTGACCGTATCTAGAGATAGAATGTGGTCGATATTCGAAAGATATGATGAAGGTATGTTTATGAAATTCTTCCAATGCATCTCTTCAACAAAATAACCCAAACTTATATACTTAGGTACAACACCTTATAAATTTGTCACGAAAAATAGAGCACATGCTCGTATCATTTGGGATTGTTCCTGGAGTCATGATGATACATTGTTTGCTACTGGATCTAGGGACAAGACAGTATGTTTTGTAATTTTTTATTTGCATGGAATGTTTATGAACATTACTAAGATAATTTTACATAGGTTAAAATCTGGACGCAAATTATGGAACAAGAGCAAATTCAATGGAAATGTATATTTGTTATTAAGTTACAAGAAGCTGTAACAGCAATTGATTTTGCTCCTATACTTATTAATCAAAGGTAACATCAAATTTATTTCAATTGCAAAATTTATATTTTTTATAAAATTTAAATTTAAAAAATTTTTCTTTCAGGTATTTGTTGGCTATTGGATTAGAAAATGGAAAAATAATAATATATCAATCTGACGATGAACAGCAATCGGAAAAATGGAATGAATTTATTGAAGTTGATAAAGAGTAAATGTTAAATGATTCTATTATTTATTGATAATCCAAATTAAGAATACTAATATAATCTTTTATATTATTAGCGAATGTCATATTTGTAGTGTTAATAGACTAATGTGGAAAAGCAAAGATATTCAGCAAAGTGAAAATGTTAAATTACAATTAGCTAGTTGTGGAAGTGATTATTGCGTTAGATTATTAAATATTATCGTAGAAAATCATATTTAGTACACAATATGGAATGATATACGAAGAATTAATCTAACTTTCCATTATTAAGATAACGCTATTATTAAAATTGAAATGATCCCCAACTGATCATCAGTTATTCCTTTTGATATAAGCATTCTGATATTGATTTCATCCCAACATTCAAAAAAAAAAAAAAAAAAAAAAAAAAACATTGCTAGTTTGCTGTCGACGTTTTAAAGATAATAAATATTTACATTATTTAAATAATTATTTTAACGAGTATTTAAAATAACGAATTTTAAGATATATAGTAAATCATACAACGTTCCGTTAGAAAAAAAATCTATATAGCAAGTCTCAACTTTCATCATAAGTATATCGTTGTGAAACCACCCTATATTGCCTTCTTTGTGCTTTGAAAGAATTCTTTTTGAGTCTTTACTCCACCTTATGATCAGATCGAGTCAAATAGAGTTTTTGACACAAATTCTTTCTTGAAGGCATCTGGAAGTTTCCATGATATAATTTCTTATGTGTGACAATATTATATCCTTTGGATTGTATAAATTTGATATACAACTCACGTAAGTAACAACAACTCTTTGACACTGCTATAAATGACTTAATTGTCTTGTCCTGGTCCATTATATATTTACGATCATTTTCAGACCAAGTACTGTTCTTAGCGATGTAAAATTTACACTTGTTGGATAAAATTTTCGAGTTTACCGTCACTACTTCTCTGTCTCTTATTTGCTAAGTTACAAGAAAATTTCTCAATTTCTGAAAATTTTAATGTTCTTCTTCACTTACTTCGTTGACGACAAATTTAATGCTTTCAGAAACACCACACTTTACTATAAAATTCTTTCTCTTGTTTTTTATTACCTGCTTATTGATAAATATGGATAAATCGTATAGATCGTTATAAATAAAAAATTATTCCGAGATGATCACACATAAGCAGACCCGTTTGCAAACAGCATATCGGACATTTGTATAATTGGTTGGCTGTTACACAAAATTGTGTAACATCGCTTTTTATACAGTTTAAAGTAATACGATCGGTTGCCGAAATCCTGAT